TGTCTTTTTGATTAAACAGAAATCCCCCAAAATTTAACAGGTTATGGGCCCAGACCCTCGAGCTTACTAACCGAGCTTTTGATAACGCGATCAATCTTTTTTCGGCTTTGAAAGTTCGTGTTTTTGTGAGTGTACGCGCGCAAAGATGGGCTGGTTCGACAACGCCGTGGAAATCAAGAACGACTTTGATGTGCACGATGCGACCCTGTATATGCTGTTCGGTTTCCTCGCGATCGTTCTTTTACTGTTCTACATTAAAAGTAAATACAGAAATCTTCAAAAAAGGATTGACGCAGTCGCGCTAAAAGTTTAAGTCAAAAGTGCGTAAATAATTTTTCGTTCACGGCGAAATAAACTGTTTTTCCGAGTAAAATAAAGTGCGTAAAAGTTTTTCGTTCACGGCGAAATAAATCATTTTTTCTCGAGAAAATTAAAGTGCGCAAAAGTTTTTTCGTTTACTGCGAAATAAATCGTCTTTTGAGGAAAATTAAAGTGCGTAAAAGTTTTTTCGTTTACTGCGAAATAAATCGTCTTTTGAGGAAAATTAAAGTGCGTAAAAGTTTTTTCGTTTACTGCGAAATAAATCGTTTTTGTTAAGAGTCGAAAATAGAAGGTTAACAAGAATGGAGTCGGTACGCATAGAAGCACCTCCAGTGAAGTTAAAGAATCGAAGTAACTTCGAAGCGTGGAAATTTCAAGTAAAAATTCATCTAAAATCGCACGGAGCTTGGGAAATTGCAAACGGCACAAAGAAGAAACCCACAGAGGCAAAGGAGCTGTACGATTGGCAGAAAAAGGATGGGATTGCGCAGAGGGTAATTTCTATCTCACTGGAAACTTCACTCATGGTTCATATTATGACATGTGAAACGGCTGCTGAAATGTTTGAAAAACTAGTGTTACTTTTTCAAAAACCAACGGAAGAAATCAAATGTGAAATCCTTGAAGAGTTTTTTAGTGCGACATATGATAAAAGTAAGCCGATCTCTACTCATATCGGGAAACTAGAGGAGATTTTTGTGAGACTAAAGGCCACCGACCCCAAGGGAATAGATGATTCCGCCCTCATCAGCAAGATCCTGTCTACACTTCCAGACAAACTGAATTACTTCAAGTCAGCGTGGGATTCTACTCCTAAAAATGAGCGCACGCTGGAAGACCTAAAACATAGGTTGTTCACAGAAGAAGAAAGAAATGGCAAGAAACCTGAAACAAGTGTGGCCTTCCAAGCCAACTCAAAACAACTCAAGTGCTGGAACTGCGATAAAGTTGGTCATTTATCACGAAAATGTAAAGCGCCAAGGAAGAAAAATGAAGAGCAGAAGAAAAACAAAATGTGGTGTCAAACTTGCCGTATGTCAAATCACACTGACAAAATGTGCTACAAATCCAAAGATAAAAGTGGTGATGATAACAAGAATAAAGTGAGCTTCCTGGCACACGCGCGCCAGTACAGATGATGAAGAAGAATGGATAGTGGACTCAGGCACCACGACGCACCTCACGATGCAGGAGTCGGCCCTGAAAATTTGGGAGGAAGACAACACCGAAATTTGTGTAGCGAAAGCCGGAACCTCAATTAAAGCGGAGAAAAGCGGACAAGTGGAATTTGAGCAATGCATTCTAAACCAAGTGCTGTACGTGCCGGAATTAAGAAAAAATCTAATTTCAGTGAGTGCGATTTGCGAAAATGATGGCCAAGTGGTTTTTTCAAAAAATAAAGTTTCGATATTGAAAAACGGAAATGAAGTACTTTGTGGTTATCGGAATGCAAATGGCTTGTATGTGGTAAAAGTTCGAAAATTTTCTGAGAAAGAGGCGACCTTTCTCTCAGATAAAAATATAACCGATAACTGGCATAAAAAATTGGGCCATCTCAGCGCGGCAAATATCAAGCGGTTGTCGAAAATGAGTGAGGGAATAACGGTCATCCCTACGGAAGAAAAGTTCGATTGTGTATCATGCATAAAAGGGAAGCAAACGCGGTTGCCCCATAAATCCGTAAGGACCCGCGCGTCTCGGTTGCTTGAAATTGTACACGCGGACATTTCCGGAAAAATTGATCCCCCAACGTGGGACGGTTATAATTATTTTGCGTTATTTGAAGATGATTATTCGGGACACTTCAAAATAACCTTACTAATAAATAAATCTGACTTTTTCGACGCGCTAAAAGAATATGTGCTCAGTGCGGAAAGGGAGTGTGATCTACATGTAGCCAAGATCAGATGTGACAACGCTGGTGAAAACAGTTCCGGAGTGCTAAAAGAATGGTGCCGAAAACGCGGTATAACGATGGATTACGCGCCGCCATACACGCCGCAACTGAACGGGCGTGCTGAACGCGGAATGCGCACGTTAGTTGAAAAAGCGCGCACAATGCTAATTGACTCAAACGTTGACCGTGAAATGTGGGGCGAAGCTATGTACGTAGCCGCCTACGTCACAAACAGGAGTCCTAGATATGACACTGACAAAACACCATATGAAATGTGGACTAAGAAAGTGCCTAAACTGAAAAACCTGCAAATTTTCGGGTGTGATGCGTACGCGAAAGTTCTGACGCATCTAAAGAAACTGGATGACAGAGCCCGAAAATTTATGTTTGTTGGCTATGCTCCCACGGGCTACCGACTTTGGGATGAAGAAACTCGCCGAGTTATCGTGCATAGTGATGTTGTTTTCAAATATAACAAAGACAAAACAGCTGAAAACCTTTTAAAGAAGAATTTCCTGGACGACATGGTGACGTTCACGGGTGAAGACGAGAAACCCGAAGAAGCTGATGAAAGCGTAAATGCAGAAAACTCGGGAAGTGAACAAGACAACAACGATGACACACTGGTACTTGACACCTCTGGCAGTGAGTGGGCGCCGGACGAGGGCGAGGAAAATCAGTCTGAAGTCAACGACACCGTGATCGAAGTGCAAGAGGGAGAAAGAAGATATCCAGAGCGAGAGCGGAGACCTGCAATGCGATATCCAGAAGACGGGCCGGGACTCTACTCAATGATAGCTGAATGCAATGACCCACTGACAGTGCGGGAAGCGCTGACGTCACCAAACAAGGAAGACTGGCTGCTGGCAATGAACGATGAGTACAATTCTCTTGTTAAAAACCGGGTTTGGGATTTAGTTGAATTACCGAAGGGTAAAAATGTCGTAAAATCCAAGTGGATTTTTAAGACTAAGCTTGGGCCTGATGGAGTCATCAGTCGTTACAAAGCGAGATGGGTAGCAAAAGGGTACAGCCAAGTATACGGTGTAGATTACAATGAGACTTTTTCACCGGTTGTGAGACATTCAACTATTAGATTCCTCTTAGCAATAGCTGTCCAAAAGGGTTTAAAAATCAACCACTTAGATATTGACACTGCTTTTTTACATGGCTTGTTGGAAGAAGACATATATATGGAGCAGCCAGAGAACTTTGAGGTAAAAGGTCAAAAGAAACTAGTTTGTAAGTTAAGAAGGGCAATCTATGGGTTAAAACAAGCTGCAAGGGCTTTTAATGATAGAGCAGACCACATACTTAAAGGGTTGGATTTTAAAAGGTCTAAGCTAGAAGCAAGCGTATATTATAAAGTATGTAACGACGTAATTATAATTTTAACTGTTTACGTTGATGATTTTTTGGTATTTTATGATGATGATGTAGCATTGCAAGATTTAAAAAGGGAATTAAACAAGCATTTCACCGTAAAAGACTTAGGCGACATAAGTTATTGTCTAGGCATTAAATTCGTGCATGATGCCAAATTGAACAAAATTGAAATGGATCAGTCGCAATATATTCAAAGAGTACTTGAAAAATTTAATATGAGTGATTGCAAAGGGATGGCTACGCCACTCGAAATAAAAGGCCAAAAAGAAAATCAAGAAAACAGAGCGAAAAGTATTGATGTGCCTTATCAAAATCTGATAGAATGTCTGATGTATTTGACAGTAAGTACAAGGATGGATGTATGCCATTCAGCTAGTTACTTAAGTCAGTTCAACAAGGAGCCTACTGAGGAAGCCTGGAAAGACGCAAAGAGAGTGCTAAGATATTTAAAAATGACCAAAGATCTTAAGCTAAAATATGAGGCAGGCGAAGAAGAGCTGATAGGCTATGTTGATGCTGACTGGGGAGGGGACAGAGCTGATAGAAAATCCTATACAGGTTTTGTATTCTGTTTTGGCAAAAATCCCATTTCTTGGGAAAGCAAAAAACAAAAAACCGTGGCATTAAGTTCAACTGAGGCAGAATACATGGCGATAAGTGATGCCACAAAAGAGGGTATTTTCTTGCAAAATCTATACGAGGAATTATTTCGTAAAATTTTGAAAGTGACAATGTATAATGATAACCAATCAGCTCTAACTTTGGTAAAAAATCCTGTTTTCCACAACAGAACCAAACATATCGACATCCGTTACCATTTCATTCGGGATGCCGTCAGATCTAGGCCGATTGAGTTGCATTACATGCCAACTCAGGAAATGCCAGCTGATATGCTCACAAAAGCGTTGGGCAAAGTGAAGCATGAGAAATGCAGAGAGGTTTTCCTCAAAAATGATGAAGATTAAATTTTTTTCGCATCGAATAATTTTTGTTGCTAATTTTAGACATAAGCTATACTCAAATTATATAACACATATTGTTCATTTTGTAGTAAGATAAGCAACATTGTAATTTTAAGGGGGGGTGTTGAAATGTGTAAAATCAAATGTGCTTATCACATCAAAAATGAAGTGCTGCCGCTAATTATGAAAAACTGTGCCTCCAGATGGAAAATTCTTGGCCAGAAAGAGACACCTGAATTTAGGTGATGAGAAAGACAAAGAAAGGAATACAAAGCAAAGTCAGCATTTTCCATCTAGCGACACAAAAATGAGCGTTTCACCTTCTGAACGGGTGGATTTAGACTCCAGCCAGGAGAATGCAGTTCGCTGACGCGCAACTGCAAGTTAGTCTCTCGCGACGCCTCGTTATGTAGACAAATCTATGTTAATGTTTCCTCAATAAAACCAACTACGTCCTCGCTAGTGGC